ACCCAGCACTACAAATGTCAACTGACACCAGACCCTTTTTGGATCATTGAGCATGACAATGACAAATAGACTCATACAGATACTACACTTAATAACAGTTATACAGACTCAATCTACCAAAATTCATATGATATAACGCATGATAACTTCAGAAAACGCTAGAGAAAAAGTTTCACGTGGGCGGCAACTTGACACAAACACGTGTGTCAATAAAACACTAACCACTAAATTTACATGCTATGTGCACACATATAAATCTAACCCACTTGCTTTCATTTCATAACATATTTAGGAGCAAAATTAGCATAAAACTTTCATTAATAAACCACATTTTTACTGTTAATTTCAGAGCGCTGCAAAAACATACCTTACTCTCTCCAGTCAAACTCTGTTCTGAGAGGTAGGGATGTGCACATCGATGCTCGAGTGTCGATAAATCAATACTTAGGAGCTTCTAATTTCAGATAACTTACGTACTCAACACGCAAGTCGCACACTTCTGCATTATGGAATGACATGATGGCAGAGAGGTAATGCAGCGTGTTGTCGTGCTCATCTGCTGAAAAAGGGTTGCAAAAGCAATATTTGTGATAAGAAAGTCGTACACAGCAACAATACAAGCAGCCTTTATAAACACTTACAGACAACACACCCTGAAATGACCTATGGTCGTGTGATCGTGTATGTATATATACATGTAATGTTTTTTTTACTAAAATTATTTAGAAAAATTCATTAACATTTTAAATAATAAGTGGTATCGTTATCGATATCGTTATCATAAAAATGTTAACAAAAAGTATCGGTATTGTATCGAATTTAAAAACAGTGGTATCACCCATCCCTACTGAGAGGGTAGGCGCAGCGGTCCACAAGCAACGACGTCACGCTCTTGAAACTCGTAAATAACTTTAAATAATAACAATAAATCAAAATAGACAGTTTCTTTTGTTCAGAGCGTTTCCTTTGTTCATGGTTTTTCACTTTGCACCTTACGTTTCTGGGCATATCCCTTTGTGGTGCTGATTTGACAAGAGGGCGGAGTCAAGGGAACTTAGGCAATTACGGCAGGCATGGACCTGCCTCCATTTAAGCGACATCATCAACTGGAGACACAGTATAATGAGGTGGTCTTACAGCCCAGCAGGTCCGAGTCTGCCACAAATGCACAAGTTCTATAGTTTATAGTTATATATATATATATATATATATATATATATATATATATATATATATATATATATATATATATATATATATATA